GTGGAGGTGGCGCCGCCGCCGCCGCCGCTTCGCGCTCCGTCTCCCCGCCGCCGCCGCCGGGGCTCGGGCGGGGGCATCCGCTCCGGTCTCCCCGCGCTTTCGCGCTCCCGCTTCGCGTGCGGCGGCTCGAGCCGGGGAGGGAGCGAGGGAAGGGGTGGAGGTGGCGGGGGGGAGGCCGAGGGGCGGATCCTGCCTGGGGGCTGATCCCTCCCTCCCCTCGGCCGGGCTCCGTGGCGGCAGCGGTGGCGGCGGCGGTGGCTCCATTCCCCCTCCTCCCCCGGGAGCGGCGGCCGGGCCGGGGGAGACGGGAGCGGAGGGCCGGAGCCGGAGGAGGCCGCGCTCCCTCAGCCGGGCCGCACACGGAGCTGCTCGCTGGCCCGGTCAGCCCGAGCTCACGGAGCCCCCCGAAGCGAGGGGCCCGGCCGGCGGCTGAGGTAAAATGGGGGCGGCGGCGGGGCCGGAGCGAGCGGGGGCGGCGGGGACCGACGGAGAGCGAGCGCTGCGCGCGAGGGGGCAGCCGGGGCGCACAGGGGTGTCCCGATGGGGCTCGGGGGTGACGCGCGAGCTCTCCCCCGGAGCGAGGGCGGCGACGAGGCCGGGGAAAGCGCGCGAGAGGGAGCTGCATAAGCGAGGACCCCCTCCCGCACCCGCCATCTTGTTTCTCTCCGGTCCTGGCAGCCGAGCGGCTAAGCCCCGCCCTCCCCGTGCTCTCCTATTGGCCGGGCGAAAACGGAGTTCCGCCCTTAGGGGGCCGCCCTTGGCGCACGGGTTCCCCCTTGACGGGCAGGTCGGCCGGCCAATAAGTGCTCTCAGCTCTGCGTCCCTCCCCTCCCCCTCGTTCGCTGGCGCTCGCTTTCTCTGTGTGGGTCGGACTCCGCGTCTGTCTGTGGTGCGACTATCCTCCGGGGTGTTTTCTTTTGGGGGAGATGGTTTCTCTCTTTTCTCCTTCGAAGGGGTGTCGTGAAGATTCCACTGGAAGAGATGTCCCTTTTAAAGGGGCAGGGACCTTGTCTGGAGTCTTAACCTGGTCTCATGAGTCTCTTGTGTGGCGTGCAGGGCGGGTTCCGTCCAATTGTTGAAACTCCTCATTCGGGGGCCAGGGTGAGGTGGACGAGTTGGGGCTCACGGGCCGCTGAGACTTGTCTCTGGAGGGGAGTTTTGGGGGTACTCGGCAGGGTGTGTATGGGATGAGTTGTGTACGTGAGGAAACTCCCGCCAAAAAAAAAATAACAATCCTGGTCTAGTTGTTAGCTCCCTGTAGGCGAAACTCTTCCAGTAGCCCAGCCCGATCTGACGGGTTTGCTCCCTGTGATCGCGGGAGCCCCGGGTGGGGATGGAGACGATTTCTGAGACTACAGAATGGGGTTCTTGTAGACTCTTCAAAATTGATACTGAAGTATGCTGTGTGTTTCCTCTCCAGAGGCTGCTTGCCTTTGGAGAATTGGGGAATCGAGGTCTGTTGGCTGGGACTACTGAGACCTTGAGGTTTGTACGCGATCTAGTGCCCCCAGGGCTTCGGGAAGTTGAACCAGAAGTGCGGTAAAGGTCCTGTGTCCTTTAGCTCCAGATGTTGGTGTATGCCTGCCTTCATGCTCTTCAGCCCGGTTAGCTGAAGTCATACCTTGGGACTGAGAGAGACCTTTAACACTGTGGTTGTCAGTAACGACTTACTGATCCTCCTTAAGAAGTAGATATTTTTTGCCCTTGCATTTATTAATTTTTAAAATTTTTATGTGCGTGGGTATGTTGCCTGATACATGCCTGGTTCCCCTGGGAATCCAGAAAAGGGCTTTCAGTACCCTGGAACTGGAGTTACAGGCAGTTGTGATCCACAGTGTGGGTGCTGGGCATCAAACCTAGGTCCTCTTAATTATATATATATATATTACTATATATAGTATTTATAAACAAATTTATGTGCGTTGGTGTTTTGCCTTCATGTATGTCAGTTAGGGTGTACCAGAGGTACAGACACTTGTTAGCTATCATGTGAGAGCTAGGAATCGAACCTGGGCCCTCTGGAAGAACAGTCAGTGCTCTCAACTGCTCTGAGCCATCCAGGCCTGTGAACATTTACTTTTTTTGTTTGTTTTTTGTTTTTTTGAGACAGGGTTTCTCTGTGTAGCCCTGGCTGTCCTGGGACTCACTCTGTAGACTAGGCTGGCCTCGAACTCAGAAATCCACCTGCCTCTGCCTCCCAAGTGCTGGGATTAAAGGCGTTCGCCACCACTGCCAAGCAACATTTACTTTTTTTAAGGGAGAGTCTTTTTATGTGCTGTGGTAGTTGGAAAAACTGTGTAGATATGGTTGGCCTCAAACTCCATAGAGTTTGGGGGCAATTCTGCCTCCCGAGTACTGCGCTGGAAAGTGCCAGCATAGAGGCAGAGAAGTTCAAAACTTTGTCCAGGTTACGTAGGACCAAGATGAAACGTAGACTGGTGCAGGACCTCTTCATAGAGGTCACGGCGACTCCCTGGTGTTCGTGACCTCTCAGCGTGGCTAGGAGATCTACATTCACCTCAGCTTGGATTGAGTCACACGTTTTCTCATGGCTGAAATGGAGATGATGTCTGCACAATCTCCTGGGGTATTTGTGAGAAATACTATGAAGAAAAGGCCATTGTAGTTTGTTAAAGTATGCTGAATATAGTCGTCATATCTTAAGTCTTCTTGGTGAGGACGGCCTTGATAACTGCCTGCTGGCCTTGGTAACTGCCTGCTGCTGCCCCTTAGGGGCAGAGAATGCTGGGGGAAGCACCCAAGGGTAGATTAGATACAAGTATCGTGGGAGAGGGATTTCTGAGGTAATTGTTCTTGGAGAATTCACCTCAGATACCGCCCCAATCAACTTGTCCTTGAGTCCAGTGGAGATCTCAGGCTACTTAAAATGTAAAAGATTTCCTGAGGCTTTCCAAGGGCTTGCTGGTTTTGTGGTTGGAAATGTCCTAAGCAGTTAAATCTTAAGTATTGCCTTCTCCCGGAGGTACCCTGTATATTATTTATAGTCTGAAGCATTTCAGATGTCTTTACTCTGGACAGGGCCGAGAGATAGGGCTTCTAGCCATGAGATGTCTCAGGAGATGCTTTAGATCTGTGATTTTATTTATTTATTTATATACAGGTTCTCACTATGTATCCCCGCCTGGCCAGAAACTCAACTCACTGAAGTAAGCACACCTACCTGTCTCCACCTCCCAAGTGCGGGGATTAAAGGCGTGCACCACTAAAGCCAACACTACACTGGTGACGTTCTGATCCTCTGATGGAACTCATTCTTTGTAAAGATTGAAAGTGGATGATATTCTTAATTGTCACCAATCTTGTCTTTGCCTTCCCTTCTTTAAAAAACAAAAGAAAAACAAAACAGAAAAACCCATGTTGTTAACTAGGCATAGTAACCTACATCCTGAGTTCTAGGACAGCCAGGGCTATGTAGAGAGACCCTGTTCTCAAAGGGTCTCAAAGAAACAGACAAGCAGCATGGCCTTGTTCTGTTGCTGGCTTTGACCTCAAGCAGTCATTCTGACCTAGTATCCTGTCTTTCCAAGTCTTAACCGTTATCTTTCCCGTAATTACCTGTTTCATTCACTGTGTGGATCAATACTAGACCTTATCTTGTGTCATATAAAGATCTGTGTTCATTTCCGTCCCCTCAGTGGGATGAGACTCCTTGAGGGACAGGGATCCTAATGCTTAACGTCAGGATGGGGAAATGACCCAGTGGGTAAAGGGCTTGCCGTGTAAGCTTGAAGAACTGAGTTCGAGCCCCAGCAGCCACCTAAAAGTCAGGTGCCAAGTGGGTCTCTAGCTCCTCCAGTGTTGGGTGTAGTGGATTGGCCTCAGACTCACAGGAAACCTAACTGTCCTTGTCTTTGTCAAAGGCCTGGCCATGGAGCCTTAAATATATTTACATCAATTTTTATCTACTTCTCCCCAGGGAGAGAGAGAGAAGGGTAGAAGAGGGGAGATGCTGTGGGTTAGGACTCAAGAAAGCACGGCCCTGAGGGCTGGCAGTTAGAGTTAAGAACAGTCCAGATAAAACATAGTAATAACTCGGGGTTATTGATAAAAAATAGATTTTTACAACATAGAGGGTAGATATTTGACCAGCACTAGGCTGATTAAGGCTTATTGCAAATATTAAAGTTGTGTGTCTTTTATCCCAAAACTAAATGATCAAAGGCAGAGTAGAAACCCCAAAACGAACTTAAGTTCTACAACAGTTCAGGGACAGAGGCTCTCAGGTGTTCATTGACTAGCCAATGAAAACGAAGCCCCAAACTCCAGACTCAGGGAGAGATTTCATCTCAGAAAACATGAGATGGCTCATCTGAAGAAGATACCTGACTTGAGTCTCTGGCTTCCGTATGTGAGCGGGCAGGTGCACATGCAGACACACGCATGTATACACCCCACACATGCAAACACAGAAGTGTGTAGGTGAGTCACCTGGCACTGCCGAGCGCTCGCTTCTCTAGGTAGCTGTTCAGACACTTCCCAGCCACTGAGATAGGCAGCTCCTTCCCCCGCCAAGCTCACATTCTGCTAGAAGTAGGGAGAAATAAACCTAGTAAATGGGTAAATTACGAGCTTAGAAGACGGTGTTACTAAAAAATAAAATAAAAATAGGATAAACAGTCCATTGCTGGATATGGTAAAGGATTTTGCCTCCCCCCCACCCCCATGGTTTCTCTGTGTAGCCCTGGCTGTCCTGGAACTCACTCTGTAGACCAGGCTGGCCTCGAACTCAGAAATCCGTCTGCCTCTGCCTCCCAAGTGCTGGGATTAAAGGCCTGCGCCACCACCGCCCGGCTTGCATTATGATTCATAATAATTGAAGTAGTAATGAAAATAACTGGTTGGGGTCACCGCATCATGAGGAAGTGCATTAAAGGGTGGCAGTGTTAGGAAGGTTAGAGGGCTACTGTTTAGACAGGAAACAGATCTTCTGATGTCCATTTCAGTGGATGGAAGGGTGAATGAACGCATATGGCAACGGATATCCAGCTCACACTCCCGCGGCCTTCTCTCCTTAGGCTCGTCTCCGTGGTTTCCGGTTGCCATGAGGAAGCCTCGCCGAAAGTCACGGCAGAATGCCGAGGGTCGGAGATCCCCGTCCCCATACAGCCTTAAGTGCTCACCCACGCGGGAGACCCTGACCTACGCCCAAGCCCAGAGGATCGTCGAGGTGGACATCGACGGCCGCCTACATCGCATCAGCATCTATGACCCGCTGAAGATCATCACCGAAGATGAGCTGACCGCTCAGGACATCACCGAATGCAACAGCAACAAGGAGAACAGTGAGCAGCCCCAGTTCCCTGCCAAGTCCAAGAAAGCCTCCTCGAAGGGCAAGAAGAAGGAGTCGTGTTCCAAGCATGCCTCCGGTACCCCCTTCCACCTCCCCCAGCCCAGCTTTCGCGTGGTGGATACAGGCAGCCAGCCGGAAGCGCCCCCGTTGCCTGCCGCTTACTACCGCTACATCGAGAAGCCTCCGGAAGACCTGGATGCAGAGGTGGAGTATGACATGGACGAGGAGGACATGGCCTGGCTAGACATGGTGAACGAGAAGCGCCGAGCGGACGGGCACGGCGTGGTGTCGGCGGACACCTTCGAGCTGCTGGTGGACCGGCTGGAGAAGGAATCCTACCTGGAGAGCCGCAGCAGCGGGGCCCAGCAGTCTCTGATCGACGAAGACGCCTTCTGCTGCGTGTGCCTGGACGACGAGTGCCACAACAGCAACGTCATCCTGTTCTGCGACATCTGCAACCTCGCCGTGCACCAGGAGTGCTACGGTGTGCCCTACATCCCAGAGGGCCAGTGGCTGTGTCGCTGCTGCCTGCAGTCTCCCTCTCGGCCCGTGGATTGCGTCCTGTGCCCCAATAAAGGCGGGGCCTTCAAACAGACCAGTGACGGCCACTGGGCCCACGTCGTTTGCGCCATCTGGATCCCCGAAGTCTGCTTCGCCAACACCGTGTTCCTGGAGCCAATCGAGGGCATCGACAACATCCCGCCCGCCCGCTGGAAGCTAACCTGCTACATCTGCAAGCAGAAAGGGCTGGGCGCCGCCATCCAGTGCCACAAGGTGAACTGCTACACCGCCTTCCACGTGACGTGCGCGCAGCGGGCCGGGCTCTTCATGAAGATCGAGCCCATGAGAGAAACCAGCCTCAACGGCACCATCTTTACCGTGCGCAAGACCGCCTACTGTGAGGCCCACTCCCCAAGCGTCGCCACCGCCAGGAGGAAGGGCGACTCCCCACGGAGCCTCAGTGAAGTCGGGGATGAGGACGGGCCGAAAGACGGTGGCGGGGAGGAGGAGCAGGAAGAAGCAGAAGAGGAGGGCCAGGAAGGCCACTGTGGGGCGGGCAGCCCCCTCAAGGGGGTGTCCAAGAAGAGTAAGATGAGTTTAAAGCAGAAGATCAAGAAGGAGCCGGAGGAAGCTGGCCGAGAGACACCCCCCATCACTGTCCCCATGGTCACTGTCCCACAGATACCCTCTTACAGGTGAGCCTCCTGAGATCTCCTGTGGGACCCTTGGTTTGTTCTTCACAGTAACCCAGGCCTTCCCTAAATACATCTGATGGATACCTGGTCTCCTCTGTGTTCCCAAATGCAGCCTGGGCCTGTCTTGTGGTCTTGTCCCTGCCCTCAGAGCAATGTGTTTCCTTTGGTTCAGAGTGACATCAATTAAGTTGCCTGATAACACCGGAGACAGTGTAACTAGAGTGGCAGTTTTCCCAGTGGCACTAAATGGCCTTGTGGACAAAATAATCCCCCGCTGTTAACTCTCCCTAGATGGTTATCGTCTCTGGTCTGCGTATGTGCAGGCTGTGACCTTACACTGCCCCATCTCTGTGACAACCCCAAGGGCTCTCACACAGGCTCCCCAAAACTCCATTCCAAGTGGGGAGCTTCTAAAAATCTCTGATCTGGGAAAGACCTCGAACTTGTTATTTATGAGGGACGTATGTGGGTGGGGCGGTCCTCCTCCTGAGAAGCTGTAGGGTTTGGGGAAAGTGGAGCTTTATATCCAAGTCTCCCTCAGAGTCCTCAGAGGGAGCACTGTACCTGTATTCGACTGTCAGTTCAGTAGCTGGGGGTGCTGGCGGGTTGGGGGCTTAGCAGGGAAGATTTTCCAGCAGAGCCCACCTCAAGGCCGATTCCTTTAAAATGTATACAGTGCTAACTGGATGTGGTGGTACACACCTTTAACCCTAGCCCTTGGGAGGCAGAGTCAGGTGGATTTCCGGAAGTTCAAGTCCAGCCTGGTATATATCATGAGTTCTAGGCCAGGGAGGGCTGCACGGTGAGCCCATGTCCAGAAAAAGAAAAGGAAAGGCAGACAAGTGTACAGCCTCAGATAGAGGAGGAGGGAATCTTGAAGACTATCCATCTAATGTAGTCCTTGCACCTTCTCCTACATTCCCAGATGAAGAAACCACAGCCACGGGAGGTAAAGTTGTTCTCTCCTTTGTTCATTCAACGAGGTATTTATTGAGCACTTAGTACATGCCATATCCTGTTCTAAGGTGGGAAGGGGCAGGTTCTGGGCTGTACGTGCGAGGCTGTCTGAGTGGAGGGTGATGGATAAAGGAGCATCTGGCAGGGGGTAGGGAATTGGCACTCTGAGGGGAACAGGCGACCAGACCTGCCACACTGGGAAGGAACCGGAACAAGATCAGGACAGGGAGGCTCTTATTTCGAGAACTTCAGCAACTCTGTGTCTTCAAGACAGAGCTGGTCCTGGCTACCTCCTTCTTGAGGTAACTGGGTCAGTGCTTAGTCCCCATTTGTAGGGTGGCTGTGCCTTGCAGCTAGCTTTTGGTTGTCTGTCATAGCCGCCTTTCCCAGGGGTCAGATTTGCTGGCTAAGAAGAAACACACCACGGAATACTTGTGTGACCTTTGGTAAGCTGCCTAATTAATTGCTCTAAGCCTGGGTTTGTGAGCAAACTCACCAGATGGAGTTGAGAGAAATCCGAGTCAGATCCTTAGCACAGTACCTGGCAGGTAGTGAGCGCTCAATAAATGGTGACTGCTGCTGCTGTGTCTTACCCCCACCCCGCCCGCACAGACGCTGCTGACCCCACCGTGGCCAGGAGGCAGAGGGAGGGGGCTGGCCTGCAAGTGGGCAGGTGTGCTTGGCATGGGTGCTGGTGGGGAGAGTCCTAGGTAAGCTTGGCTTTGGGGCAAGAACGTCTGACTGGAGACTGAAGGCACGGAGTGGCAGTGCCCGCCCTACCCACCCCATCTTTCTTAAGTTTCATCTCGATTAGCTACGGTTAGCTCTCCTCCCGTGGAGTGGGGCAAAGAGATAAAGCAGAGGAAAGCGGAGGGGCGCTGGGGCCTTGCTTACCTTGGGTGTGGACCGTGGTAGTGAAGAGGTCATGGGGTCAGTTCCCACGTGGGGCCACCGTCTTCTCAGCCTGTGGGGAGAGGACGGTGCTGCTCTCCCGTGCTGCTCTCCGTGAAGGTGGTCGTTAGATCCTTTCCTCTCCAGCCCCACAGCTGTCACTCGTTACAACCCAGCTCTTAGGCCCTCGATTTGCTGGTTAGAGCGAGCTTCTACTCTCTCTGTTTATCTATGTTTAGATTTTTGTTGTTGTTTTCTCTTTTTTTCCCTTTGATTCAAAATTTAGGCATTTTTAGGATGCTAAGAGTTTTTAAATGAAAAATCAGAGGTCAGCTGGCTATGGTGTTATATATCCCTATATTCCCAGTTACTCAGGAGGTTGAGGCAGGAGGATCGTAAGTACCAGGCTAGCCTGGGTAGTATAGTGAGACCCCATCTCTCACGAGCATGCATTCACACACACAACCCCTCAGAGGTCAGATTACTCTGAGGGGTTACATTTGGGGACAGAAAGCAGTTACCTGTCATATTTTCTTTGAGCTTGGCTGTGGGCCACCTCAGGGTCTGGTGAGACCCTCAGCCGCAGAAGGCAAGGTCTGGCGACGTAGCACACGGCGTACTCAAAGCTTGCTGTCTTTGTGCTGTTATCAAGAGGAGGCTGTGGGTTCAGGAGCACGGGCCTGTTTCTCAGCACCTGGACTGGAAGCATCTCAACGGCAGGCAACAGGGCTGTGCGAGGTTTGCTTCAGAAGATCAGTTCTGCAGGGCAGGGTGGAGAAGCAGGAGAGACATGGCTGCCCAGTCTGAGCTGCCTAACTGCTGTCTTTCCTCAGCCCTCCCCTGCGGCGAGGCATTGGGTCACTTCATTCTGTTTTCCTCTGTAAGGTTCCGAGATGAGCTGCGATCTGAGTGGGATGTACAGCTGGGTGTAGCCTGAGCTTCTACTGACCTGTCTCTCACTCCCCTGTGCCTCTACCCAAGGTTGAACAAGATCTGTAGTGGTCTCTCCTTTCAGAGGAAAAACCAGTTCATGCAGCGGCTCCACAACTACTGGCTGCTGAAGCGGCAGGCTCGGAACGGCGTCCCCCTCATCAGGCGCCTGCACTCCCACCTACAGTCCCAGAGAAACGCTGAGCAGGTAGGCACGGCGACCGCTGACAGCTTGTGGAGGAAGCTGAGAGGAAATGAGAAGGTGGTGGAGCTGGGATGGTGCTCCTCCTCCTCCTCCAGACTCCCAGGGAGCCTTTATCAATAGCAGATCACCCCAAGTGATCTGTCTAGAACAGTTTACCTGGCAGGGGCCCCTTCTGAAGGAAGATGCTTTGCATGGTTCATGCACTGCAGATAGTGTCAGAGAACACTAAACTTCATCTGTGTGCCTTTAAGGAATGAAAACAAAGCCATTTCCTCTTGAATTCATTTGGCCAAACTTCAGTTCTTTACTTCCCTCCCTGTGTCTTCCATCTGTCTGGCCTATCCGTAGTCTATCTGTTGCCTGGTGTGTGTGTGTGTGTGTGTGTGTGTGTGTGTGTGTGTGTGTGTGTGTTTTGTCTGTCGTGCCTATCAGTTATGCCTGTGTCTGATGTCTGCCCTGCCTGTTCCTAACAGGATTTTCCTCTGTATTAATTGAACAGCACAGAATGGGACGGGGACTGAACGAGAGAGTCTGGTTGTTTGAGATTTATTTTGTGTGTATGAGTATTTGACCTGCATGAATGTCTGTGTACCATGTAGGCGTCTGTTGCTCACAGAGACCAGAAGAGAGTCTGAAATTATAAATGGTTGTTAACTACCATGTAGTTGTTGGGAACTGAACCCTGTTCCTCTGTAAGAGCAGCCATTCTTAAGTCTTCTGCCTTCTCTCCAGCCCAAATGAGGGATTCCTTACAGAAAAATTTGACAGTTTTATGAGGAAGAAGTCATTGTACCCTGACCTAGAAACACCCAATACTGCAAATAGACCTTAACAAGCCTAACAAACCACATGCAGTTTTTAAAATTCATAAATTTTCTACCATAGTGGATATTTAAGGTCACTTGTAACCTGTTGACTACTTTCAGCAAATGATTGTCACAGACACAGACAAACACAGAGACACACATACACGACTGTGTCGAAGACATTTGGAAAGAACAAGATGAACACTATGCCTGGGTTGTAAAAGTTGATTGCGTAGGAAATCCAAGTCCAGTAAGGTTGATTGCTTTTTCTCTTAAAGGCAGGTTAAACATAAACAGGCTGAGTACACAGTAGGACAGCAGGTTGAATACATAGTCTTAATGATCTCAAAGCATATTATTAACTGGACTGTAGAGTTTGCCAGAAGTAATCTCTTTGAGGCCAAGAGATATTTTTGTTAAAAAAATTATTGTTACAAGGCTTGACTCAAGGGTAAACTCCAGGACAGAGTGAACAGCAGGCCAGTGTCACGGTCATATAGACAGAGCCCTCCAGATGTCATATAAGAGGTGGCTGGGTGAGAGCAGAGTGGCCCAATTGTGTAAAATAAGAAAAGGTGCCCTTTGCCCTTAAGCGTTTCATAGTAAATATGCAGTTGACGGTTTAACCCGTAGTCTGCAGACTGTGGCAGGCTGTGGCACACTGCATGCTTAGTGTTTTCTGCTCCTAGTTGGTCCCTTCCCATGGCCCACACCATCCGTTAATCCTCCTCACCTGCTCCATCCCGTCTGCCTTCGGGTCCTCCCCCGCTGCTGCAGAGAAGCACAAAGTTCACATGACCTATGCCTTGAGCATCCTGTTTGCTCGCTCTGTCTGAGCCTGAGTCACAGGCCGCTCTGTCTGAGCCTCTCTTGAACCTCTGCTTCCTTGAAGTCTCTGCAGCCCTTAGCAAGTCCTTCCCTCAGATTGTCACCTTGACCCTTGTCCCACACTGACATCATGGATCTCTGTGTCCACAGGTTTCTATGCACCTTTACAACCTTTTGATTTCTTCGTGTGTGTGCGTGTGCGTGTGCACTGTACATGCATCTTGTGTGTGTGATGACATGTCCATACTAGGTGTCTTCCGGACTCTGTGACTGAACTTTGAACTCAGCGATCGGCTAGACTGGCTGGCCGGCAAGCTGCAGTGATCGTCCCCAGCACTTTTTCCTGGGGATCTGAGCTCTGTCTTCAGGCACCTCACCCAGTGTTCCTCTGCTTTCTCATCCTTTAATGAGAGCACTCGCTGCAGCTTCACTTGTCTGTGTAGTTGTGCAGAGACTGTTGGTTGTTGCCTGGTTAACTCCAGGACTTGGGAGGCAGAGGCAAGTGGATCTCAGTTCCAGGACACCCAGAGCTGTTACACAGAGAAACTCAGTCTCAAACAACCAGTGTGTGTGTGTGTGTTTAAATTTGTGTGTGTGTTGTGTATGTGTGGGGAGGGTATGTCCCGAGAGCAGGTACCTCAGAGGCTGGAGGAGAGTTCTCTCAGTGTTCTTTATCCCATTTATGACCCAGGCTTTGGTTTCTTGAAGCTGTCACATTCCTGTGTTGCAATTGCTGAGCTTCCGCCTTCCCTCAGCAACAGGATTATTGTCCTCTTCTAGGACAGGATTCACTTTTTTTTTTTTTTAAAGATTTTGCCAGGCAGTGGTGGCACACGCCTTTAATCCCAGCATTTGGGAGGCGGAGGCAGGATCTTTTTTTTTAAAGATTTATTTGTTATGTATATGAGTACAGTGTCACTGTCTTCAGACACACCAGAAGAGATCATCGGATCCCATTACAGATGGTTGTGAGCCACCATGTGGGTGCTGGGAATTGAACTCAGGACCTGTGGGAGAGCAGTCAACACTCTTTAACCACTGAGCCATCTCTGACCAAAGTATTTTAAACCACCATCTACTAGTAAGAACTTCACTATTTTTAGTCAAGGCAAATCTCTAGGGTAAGATTCCTTCAACCCCTTAGTCTTACTGGGTTTCTTCAGAAGTGCTTTCCAGCTCTGAGGACCATATCCGGCCAGTGGTATCCCTGGGGCTGGGGAAGCAGGGAAGTTACTCTTCAGTTTGTTCTTGTACAGCGCTGAAGAAGCGCCCTAGCACCAGGAAGTCTGGGGCAAAGGCCCTGGGTGGTGCTTGGGGAAAGGGCCTTCCGCAACCTTGGGGCTGGCGGGAGGTGGGAGCCCCAATTGCTGAAGCCCTTGGAGGCTGAAGCAGCGTCTGTGGGAAGGGAGGAGCCCACAGCCCCCTTGTTCTTGCCTTGCTCAGCGGGAGCAGGATGAGAAGACAAGTGCGGTGAAGGAAGAGCTGAAATACTGGCAGAAACTCCGCCACGACCTGGAGCGAGCACGGCTGCTGATCGAGCTCATCCGAAAACGGGAGAAGCTGAAGCGAGAGCAGGTGAGCAGAGCGCCGGCCAGGGCCGCCCAGGGCCCCTGCTCTCTGGCATCGGAGGATGCTGGGGCACTTCTCTGGGGCCAGCATTCTCTGCCCGTCTTGTGCTGAGCACTGTGGACTCTCTTCTGCCCCCTTGGTGGAGGGCTGCTGGAGGCATCTGTGTTTCCTGGTTCAACTCATTTGGGCTGGGGCCCGTGCTTAGTTCCGCACACCTGAGCTCTTGACTGGAGTTTCTCTGGTCTAGAAGTTTCTGGAGGGATACTAACCGGAATGTTTTGAAAAGCCTCTGGAGACATTCTGTCTCCGTGTCTCTGGAGACACGGCCAGATGAAAACCCGAGGTTCTCACTGGGCCTTAAGCATTTGTGGACTTAGAGTCCGTTTAAAATTTCCAGCCTCAGTTCAAGAACATTCCAAGTTCCCCAGCACAGGGACTGAGAAGGTCGGGGGTCTGGCACGTGGTTCAGGAGCATGGTGTGCGCTGTTGCGGGGCAGGCTCTAAAGCCTGGCTGTTTCCTAACGTTAAACAAACTTTAATCTCTGTAGACCTCTGATTTCTCATCTTTAGTATAGAGAGCTGACATCACAACGCTAGATGAGTTCATGTTTGTCCGAGTTGAGAATACCTCCTGGCACAGAGTCAGGCTAGAGAGGGGCAGCTGCTGCTGCGGTGAAGGGTTGCACAGGTCCTCTGCCCGCTGGAGTGTCTGCACGAGTGCTCTGCACACGGCACAGAGCAAACAGTATTAAGTGAACGGATGACAAACCCAAACTGCTCTCTCTAGTCCAAGAATAGCAGCTGCTACTCGAATGCTTTCGAGGTGTGGGTTAAAATTCTCCTCCTTCTGTCATGCAGTTCAGTAACCACACGCCCCTCTCTGCTAGCCCCACAGCTCCAGCTCCACTGCGTGTCCTGGGCGGCCCTTACTGCGTGAGTGGGCAGACAGGGCATCTCGAGACCCTCCCAGGTCAAACTGTAATTTGTATCCAGGCTTGGTCCTATAGCCTAGTGTCTGCCTCGGGTTCATACAGCGGAGAGGAGGAGGAGGCCCTCGCTGTGGTTTAGGTTGCCATGGCCGAGAGCAGGAGCTTGTCTGCCTCACTCACGGTGTGGCACCCTGTAAGGTAATATTGGACAGAGTAGCACCGTGGCTATGCTGAGCCTGGACTCCCCAGTCACCCTGGGCCCACACGTGCTCTCAGTGAGTTCTCAGAGCTCCTGAGACACACATGCTCACGTTCCGTTTCTTCAGTGCGCTTGGACTAAGGCCTGGCCTCCAATGCTTCTCAGGTTTTTTCCCAAATAGATAACTCTGCAAACTCAATCATGTCACCAAACTCCATGGACCAGATTCTAAAGTGGGGGCATAATCTCTGCTTCAGTTGCTGTGTCTTAAACTGATAATATCATGGAGAAGAGCAGTGTGGCTTAATGGTCAGGAGTCCTGTGGAAGCTGACTGGAGCCCCCTGCTAACTGCCCCGTTAGCTCTGTGACCTGGAGCCAGTCTCGTGTGACTCCACTTCCTCTGTGTGAAATGTCCATCTGTACCGAGCTTGATACTCACTCGGTGTTACAGGAGACACTTAGACTGGCCCCACACATCTGCCCCCAGACACACATTTACACATAACTAAGGCTAAGTCTTTAAAGAGTGCTTAGGCCGTTACTTGAGACCTAGCGTGGATCTTCACTAGTGTTAGTCACTACAGTCGATAATTGATATTATTACTTGTGTGAGTTCTGGTCCGGTTCTTGATGCACAGAAAACATTTGTAAAGTAGCTGTTCCAGTCTATTCACTGCCGCCAGGATAGTCTGGCCCACAGACTGGGCCATATGCGAAGGAAAGCTGGCTTGGCTCCCAAGTCTGGAGACCAGAAGTAAGGGTATGGTGGCAGGCCGGTGAGAGGGAGCCATCCTGAGATGTGCCTTGATGGGAAAGCAGATGAGCGAGGGAGGGAGCGGGGAGTCTGCCTTAACCGCTGTCACTCCTGTGAGAGCCCACGGCCAGCCTCCTGATCTCTTCTGAGGGCGAAGCCACACGATGCCAGCACCCCTTCGCCCTCACACTGCGAATTGTGACCCTGACACGTGAACGACACTGTCTGCGTGAGCCTCGGGTGGGGTGGCCGCCTCCACCCCTCGTGGAGATTTGTTACACATGACTGCCGCGCAGGTCTGGACAGGCCAGTGCCTCTGTGGTGGTGCTCTGCTCACTCCTGCGTTCATGACAGGTCAGAGTGCAGCAGGCTGCCATGGAGCTGGAGCTGATGCCGTTCACGGTTCTGCTGAGGACGACGCTCGACCTGCTGCAGGAGAAGGACCCTGCACACATCTTCGCCGAGCCTGTCAACCTCAGTGAGGCAAGTTGCCCCCCTAGGCAGCAAGTGTGCCCTGGAAATGGCCTCTGAGCAGAGTGAGGAAGGGTCGGGCCGCAGGCCATCCAGAACTGAGGGTGGAGTGCTGTCTGGCTAGTGGACTTCCTCAGGGTGAGGGGTCTGTAGGAGGTCTGGGTGGACCAGGCCTGAGGCTCGCGGTGAGCTCGACATGGCCGCAGCTGAGAGTTGGGAGGCCAAGAGTGGCAGTGAAGGGTGCGCCCGTGTGGCTCATAAATAGTTGTTGTAATTGTACAGGTTTTATATGTTTAGGTTCCAGATTACCTGGAATTCATATCCAAGCCAATGGATTTTTCTACTATGAGGCGGAAGCTGGAATCTCACCTGTACCACACCTTGGAGGAGTTTGAGGAGGACTTTAACCTTATAGTTACCAACTGCATGAAGTATAATGCTAAAGACACAATTTTCCACCGAGCAGCTGTCCGCCTGCGGGACCTGGGAGGGGCCATCCTGCGGCACGCCCGGCGGCAGGCAGAGAGCATCGGCTATGATCCTGAGAGGGGCACCCACTTGCCCGAGTCACCCAAATTGGAAGACTTTTACCGATTCTCCTGGGAGGATGGTGAGGAGTTTGGATGGGTAGGGAGAAGGACTAGGAAGAGAGGCACAAGGACAGGGCCCAGACAGCCCAGGATCAGGGTGGGCCTTGGAGGTGCAAAAGCCGTGGCTGGGAACAGACCAGTGTGCTCTGGGGTTAAACTGGCACACACAGTGCTATAGGGAAGGCGGAACTCTCTGTCTGGAAAGCCAAGGCCTCTCCAGGCCTCTCCTGGATCCCTGCAGTGTGGCTCCGGAGCAGGGGGTGGGAGGAGCGGGAAGTAGGTGGGAGGAGTGGGAAGTAGAGGGCTTCTGAGCACCAAGCTCTGCCTGTGCCCGCCTGCTGCGGAATCACTCAGGCCAGGGTTTGATAAGCCACCGCATGCCTGCTGCATGGCCGTAGGCATAACTGGGGTTTGCTTCCTGCAGGTGGTTCCCACATTCCGTTCTGTCCCGTCTGGGCAGCAGTGTTGTAGGGCCAAGGCCCACACTGACACTGCTGGAAGTCACTAGCCTAGGCCTTCCAGGACCATAGTTTGCCCTTTTCTCTCGCCCTGCGCTGGGCCGGCCGGTCCTTCAGTCTCTTTTCCTCCCTTCTCCCTGGCAGTGGACAACATCCTCATCCCCGAGAACCGGGCCCATCTGTCCCCAGAGGCACAGCTGAAGGAACTGTTGGAGAAACTGGATCTGGTGAGCGCCATGCGGTCCAGCGGGGCCCGCACCCGTCGTGTCCGCCTGCTACGCAGGGAGATCAATGCCCTTCGGCAAAAGCTAGCACAGCCACCGCCACCACAGCTCCTGTCACCGAACAAGACTGTGCCCAACGGGGAGCTGCCAGCAGGGTCTCGGGGGGACGCAGCTGTGCTGGAGCAGGCCCTCCAGGAGGGGCCAGAGGACGAAGGGGACAGAGGTGAGAGTCACAGCAGGCAGGGTGCTGGGGGAGTGAGGGGCTGGATCCTCCCCTGAGTATAGGTCTGACCCTGTGGGTAGGCAAAGCTCTTGGAAATGGTGGGGGTAGGGGTGTCAGTGTGTTCCTAGGGGACCCAGATGTTCCAGAATGGTTAGTTGCAGGGCAGTGGAGAGGTTCAGAGAGATTAGGGTGCTGGAGCCCAGCATCTCCACAGCAGGTAGTAGTTATGTCTTGCTTGTTCCAGCTAAGTCAGCCTCCTCTCTACCACTGTATGCAGCACTCTGAGAACAGGCTGGCTCCCCTTGGCTGCGGGAGGATGAGCAGAGAAGTGAGGACCTTCCTTGTAGCCTGGACTCGTGGATTGGGTCCCAGCTGACCAGGGCTGTAGGCCCACCCAGCCAAGGAGTCATACAACCAAAGGCCGCATAGACTGAAGCAGGTGGCTTTCTCAAGTGAAAGTAACGTGACAGCCAACAGTTTATTATAGTCTGCTCCTTACCTTAATGATTCAAGGAAGCAACTCTCGAAACCCAGGACTCGTCTCTGAGCCAAGCTGCTCTGGTGCCTGCCCGTGCCTCAGCCCGAGATTTGGGGAGACCTGTCACTCACAGAGCCTAAACATGGGTTTTAGTAAGGCTCAGACTGCAGAGATTGGCCTGGTGTGTGGTAGTCAGAGACACAGTAGAGAAGCCACATGACATCTGAAGGCTATGTGACCATTAACTTTCATGTGTTGCTCAGCATGTCATTTGAATCCCACTGCTTGACTGTGGCAGGGTCACACACAGTGGGCCAGTTGCCTTAGCATCACCTAGAGAGTTTCCTGGTCAAGTCTCAGAGGTTTAGATGGGAATGTCTGGGCTGTGTCTTGTAAAGTTTCAACTGAAGCAGACTTGTTTGAGAGCTGCCGAGTTTCTTATATCTGCAAACACCCTTTCTGCCTGCTGGGTGCCCCCACAAACCAGAACTGAGGACAGTGAGAACACCCCGATGTCGGTGAGAATGTAATCCTCCAGTCTGGCAAGCTGAAGGCTCGTCTGACTGCTGACTATAGCAATGGCTTTCTCAGACGCGAGTGACATTTGATACACAAACCATTAGGCTCACTTTGTAAGCCATTGTCCCTTTGTGATTTGCCTTCATTTGGTCTGGACTGTAACCTAGGCCTAGAATTCCTTCAAAACTTCCCATGGGTCTCTACCCTGTTAGCACATCTCTGTCTACAAAGATATTTACATTACGATTCAAAACAGCAGCGAAATTACAGTTATGAAGTAACAACAGGAATAACTTTATTGTTGGGGGTGACCACAAGAGGAACTGCATTAAAGGGTCGCTGGCCATGCCAGTTCAGTCAGCCAACAGGGTCTCAAGGGAGGGAATGAGGATTAAAGAAAAAAAAAAGAGACATTATAGTATGACCCCAGCAAGTGCAGAGGTGGGTTTATTTTTTTTCCCAGTCTGCTTTTATACCCTTCTAGGTCCATGCAAAGAATAGGGTCAGTCCTAGGTCAAAGACAAAGTAGTCAAGGAACAAGCAAGGCATAAACAAAGGTCCCGTGATTACTATATTCAGGGACTTAACAAGACAATCAAGATACAAAGAACACTTTTCTCAGCTGTATTTATCTTTAGCCTTGCCCTAGCCCAGTGTCAAATTCTTGCCTGAGCCCACTTCCTTGTCTTAGCCTGATGTCCACATCCCCCCTTTTTTTATTTCATAAACAAGACTGTATCTGTCTTAGACTGTTCTGACAAGAATGCCTTCTTTACCCATCATTGAAAAAGCATTATCCAAAGCAGTGCACTTATGTCTCAGGTTGGTAAGGCTTTGTGCAGACTTAACCGCCATTGTCTGCCCACCTGTTAAACTAGTGTCGCTGTCTGGGGATCCATTTTTAGTTTCTAGCCATGTATTTTGGTCACCAACATGTTGATGATGTTAAAGGCAAGTTGTAAATATTCTTGCCAATATCCTTGATGTCTACCAAGAGCTCTGTCCAAGAACCGCTGTCCTAGTTGACAAACACGCGGCAGGGATTGAGAGTTGTTGAGTGTAGACAGAGCTTATGCTTCCTTTCATCTTTGCTTAGATCTGAGGCCTAAGAGAGCCAAAGCTGCGCTCCTTGCTCAGCAGAGACAGCGTCTGGCTTGTAGGAGCAGACTGTTCTAGAACGTTCAAGCATGTTCTCTTCTTCTCCAACAGATGATTCAAAGTTGCCTGCCCCACCAACCCTGGAGCCTACTGGGCCTGCGCCTTCCTTGTCAGAACAGGAGTCCCCTCCAGATCCCCCAACCCTGAAACCTATCAGCGACAGCAGACCTTCAAGCCACTGCCTAAAGTCCCGGAAGGTGGAGGATGAGGAGCTCTTAGAGAAGTCAGCCTTGCAGCTGGGGAGCGAGCCCTTGCAGTGCTTGCTTAGTGACAATGGCATTGACAGACTATCTCTCATAAACTCTGACAGCCCTGGTGGCAGCCCTCTCGGCAGTGTGGGCCGCCGAACAACGGTCCTCTTCAAGAAGGGCAAGGATGGAGTTAAGCTCCAGAGGGCTCCAGATGGCACCCTGGAGGATGGCGAGGACCACGGCCCAGTGGACGGTCCTGCTTCTCCTGCCAGCACGGAGGATGAGCATTCTTCCCGGAAGCGGCCAAGGAGCCAGAGCTGCAGTGACAGTGAAGGGGAGAGGTCCCCTCAGCAGGAGGAAGAGACAGGTGACCGTGCCTGCCACTTCTTTACCTATTTCCCATCTGCTTGGCTGCTTTGCTGTACCCTCCCCTGCCAGCCTTTTCTAGAGATCTCTATGAGGACACAAGCTGAGAGCAGTTGTTTTTAGATTGTGTCTTGTACTGTCCCTGGCCTTAAGTGGAAGACTTAAGTAAGACTTTATATAGTCAAACGGTCTCTAGCTTCCCTTCAGTTCACTCTTGAGATACTTTTTTCAGACACTGTCTTAGGCACTGGAAGAAAATTAGTGAACAAACCATGAAACTGTCTTCCGGGAGAAATAGGCTGTGGGTGAATGAGAGCTCTCGTATTTCAAGCTCGGTGACAGTCATTAAACAAAAACACTGGTCATACTATCAGAGAAGAGGACATAGAGAGTGCTGGGTGGCATGAGACAGAGCGGCCAGGGAAGGGGACATTTGGGTAAAGATCAGAAGAATCCAAAGTATGAGCTGCTTGTGCGTCTAGGGAAAGGGTAGTCTAAACAGGATAGATGAGCAGCACAGATACCTTGGAGGTGGGCACTCCCTTGCATGGCCCAGAGCAGAAAGGAGCTGTCCGCAGCAATGTGGCAGGCAGAAGAGGAGGTCCCAGAGTAGATCACAGAGCTAGGTCGCTGAGTCCTGACTGCGTGCCTAGTAGGAGCTGGGCTCTGATGGTGAGAGGCTAGTAAGTCAGACCTAGTGCCGGCTCCATGAGAGTCCCGGTGCCGTACGAAGTAGAGCATAGAGTGAGTGCTCCTCTAAGTCACTGGCAAGTCCTGAGCCCAGAGTGTGGGCTCAGGTGCGCCAACACTGCCAGAGCCACTCAGGGAACTTGACCCGTGGTTGGGAAGGCTTCTCTTGAAGGTGACACCCGAAGCTGAGGGCAACTGGAAAGGGGTAGCTGGTGTGAGGGGCCCGAGGCACATGTGGGGGCCTTACACACCAGGTGGGCATGTTTGATCTCGGTGAGGCAGGAAGGCTGCTCTTGACTGTCACTCCTCTGTCACGCATCCTGTATGTGGTAGCTGTGATGGCGTTGTCAGCGCTTGCTTTTTCTCTCTTTCCAGCACAACCTCCCCTTCCCTCAGCCATGCTTCTCTGTATTAGGCTGGCTGTTAGGAAGACCTTGACTTCCCGCTGCCTGTACTGGAGAGAAGTACCCTTTCTGAGCCTGTCTCCTCCTTACAGATGTGTTGCTGGTGGTTCCTATGTTGCAGGGCTAAGGTTAGAGGAGATTCTAGGGAACGCAGCCAACGGTAGCGGATGCTGTCATCTTTTCAGTTGTGTGTGTCTCCCCAAACAGCTGGAGATGGTTGTACTAAAAATGAAGGCCCACCCACCTGGGCCCTTGCCGCTTGGGGATCCTACAACAGTCGCCACTGCCTGGCACTCGGAATACTACTTAGTTGTTCACACCCTGAGCTGGAGGAGCTCAGAAGGCAGGCCTCGATCCTTCGCAGGAAAGGCACAGTTGTGGCCTTTGACTCAACTGAGGTCCTTACGTTAGAGGAAGCGCCAGGCCAGGAAAGTGACATCCTGGCTCAGGCGTCTGCTCTCACAGGTGTGGCTGGCCTTGCCGTTTTCTAGTCAAGGTGTCTGACAGCTCTTAAATTGGTGATCTGATCCACTGTCAGCCTTGGTTCAGTGCTCAGAGCTGTGGGACTCGGGAGTTAGAAATCTAACAGATGGAGCAAAGGAGGCCTCCATGGCAAGGTGATCCTGGGACAGTGACACAGCCTCTCTACTTCACAAAAGAAGGGGCCAGTATTTGCGAGCCTAGCCTGGAGCCATGGCTCCCGTGCTGCACGCTGCCCTGGGCTGCTGTAGCCTTGAGCGTGCACTCTTCAATGCACTAGCTCTGAAAGACAGCTCTGGGTGTGGCCGACCCTGAGCCCTTATCCTGTCTTAGCTTCTCCTGCCGTCTTCCCTGGAGAAGAAAGCTGCCGTTGCCAGCTGGGATGGGGAGGGCTTGTGAGTGGTTATCAAAAGAGGTAAGGCTGTGGCTCTTGAAGAGGCAAGAGGACCTCCCTGATAACTGAGGTTTCAAATTAGAACAGATCCAGGGACCTCTGAGCCTGCCCAGGTGGGGAAGCCATGGTTTTCCTCGGTGGTCAGGCGTGTGCTGACTTCATCTTTTATGTGGGGAGAGTCAGGAGGTGCAGTGTGCTCACTGGCTAACATTCTCTCTGTGAGGGTCCCTCTGCCACCCATGATACACTCCTCACAGGGACAGCCACCTACCTATCTGAGGCAGCTTCCCACGGGGAGGCGTGTGTCAGGGAAGGGAGGTTCCGCACTCAGGGCTCACTCTGTGTGTCCTTGGCAGGCGTGACTAACGGCTTTGGAAAACACACGGAAAGCGGGTCTGACTCGGAATGTAGTTTGGGTCTCAGTGGAGGACTGGCGTTTGAAGCTGGCAGGTAAGGATGCTTATCCCCCAAGCTCGGGCAGCCTTGAGACCTCTTTTCCTTCATCCTCCATTCAGTGACAGGTCCGGCTTCCTTCTTAGTTCTCACGACTGGCATCTCCTCAGGCTCTGGCCTGTCTGTAACTGGGAGCCCTGAGGGAAAGGGACTGGCCTGTCTCAGATCTAAGGAAGAGCAGTGTTGGTGAGGCTGTGGACCTCAGTCTCCTGTTGCCCAGGGAAGTTGCCATTTGAGATGCCCACTCCAGTACATGGGCGTGTGCGGATCTCGGCTTGTTGGAGGCATGGTTTCGTAGGATTGGTCTCTTCCGTTTGTTTTGCCTTCTTTTCTGTGAGGGTTGAACCCTGGGCCACACACCTGCTAGGCAAGCACCCTACCAGTAAGTTACAACCAAAGCTTTTTTTTTTTTTTTTTTTCCTCTTGGTTTTGTTTTGTTTCTTGATACAGGATCTTGTTCTGTAGACCTGGATGGATTGGGATTCCGAGCATTTTTCCTGCCTTGCTTTCCTGGGTGCTGAGATGATGGGCGGATACCACTATGCCTGGATTGATTTAGCCCTTGGTTTTTGAGATGGGATGTAGGCCTGAATAGCTCAGGGTAGCCTCCAGCTCAACCTTTGTTCCCTTTCCAGGTGCTGAGGTCACAGGCATGTGTCAGCTACATCCAGTGCCCACAAGTGTGGCTTCTGTAGAGATATCATGTAGGAATGAGGGAAGACCGAGTATGGACTTTTAAAGGCTCCGTTTTCAGAGACTCTAAGTTGCCTGACATTTCAGAGAAGGAATGGGTTTCTTTTGCTCTTTAACCTGAAGGGAGGATTTCTAAGAGTTTACTGAGCTCATCGTCCTGTGTTTTCTGTTCTTCCAGACTCTGGGTAGAGAGGGATGCTTGCAAGAAAGGGCCTCGAGGGTGCCTCTGTGGAAGGTGACTGCTGAGAGAGCCCTTGGTTTAGGAAAGCCCGGAAAAGGCTGGCCTGTGTCTGAAGGCTTGTGAAGCAGGCCTCACTGGCACGTGTACTTTGACATTTGCTTACCTGCTGGGCTTCCTGGTGGGGCCTGCGCTGGCTACCTACATCAGTTCCTCTCCACGAAACCCCCAAAACTGCCTTGACCCTCTCCCTGTCTGTCAAAGCCTCCAGTGACACAAAGGGAGTAGATTCGGACAGAGAGGTTATTAGGCTAGAAAATACAGATTGCAAAATATTAGAAAATACTCCTTGCTTGCTCTCAGGTTGGAGTTCCTGGCTTCCTTCAAAGACAGTGGCCCACACCTGTAACCGCAACACTTAGGTGACCGAGATAGAAGAGTCATGAGGTGCAGACCAGCCTGGGCTTTGTAGTAAAGCATGTTTAAAACGAAAAAACCCAGTAGAGCTAAGCAACTATGTAAGTGGCTGGGAGGTCAGTTTACTGGAGTTAGGGTAAGACTGAGGTCAGCCATCTGTCACCTTCCAGCCCTTGGCTGAGGTGGAAAGGATACTGTTTTACTTACTGAAGGGCAGGCTTCCCATCGGTGAGTCACAGAAACAGGCCAAGCTAGCCTGCTGGCAGTGATGAACTCCAGTCAGCTGCCACTTGTTGCCTTCTGCTTGGTAGAGGAGCCATGCCCTTGGAAGGTATTTCCTCTTTCAGTCCGGTGTTTCAGAGTTTAAGCATGAGAGACTGGGACCTAGCAGGCTCAGTCCCCAGAATCACACGGTGGAAGTAGAAAGTCCACTTCACAGGCTGCCCTCAGACCTCCACACACACACCTGCGCGCGCGCACACATGATAACAAAAAAAACGTAAAAGTAAGTAAAATGGAAGAGCCAAGGTCTGACGGCAGTGCTCTCTCTGCCTCCTATGCCCTCCCTCCTCTCCAGTTCTCTAGCAAGAGCAGAAAGGAAACTCTTATCTGTCTGATTGAAGCCATGTTGTCTCTTCTTGTTGTTCTGGTTTGTTGTTCTTGTTTTGAGATGGGGGTCTCACCACTTAGCCCTAGCTTCCTGGAACTCACTGTGTAGACCAGGCTGGCTGGTCTTGAACTCACACAGCCTGTCTCCTTGCACCGATCACTCGCCTCCCGCCCGTTTGCTCTATGGTTGGTCTTTCCAAATGGCTCCTCTGAGCGCCTTTCCAATCACTGTGCCCCACGACAGTCTCTTGCACGCCAGATCGTGAACTCGATGTGACTGAGGCTTTCCCCCCACCCCCTTTCAATCCCCTGGCTCCTCCTTCTGAGTGCTAGGGTGGCATCTGTGTTCCACCACACCCAGCTGCACCCTCTTGTGGGTCATTCCTCCAGCTGCTGCTGTGGTGTGAGTCACTGATGTGAAGATGCCTGTCAGTTCCCGTAGCTCATCTCAAAGGACACAGATGGACATTACTCTCCGGAACTGTAGACCGGCTATCCTGGGTTGGCCTGGGTCTTTGGGGAAGTTTGCAAAGCAAGCCTCAGTGGCATCGATCTGCCTCGCCAGAAGCACACAGAGCTGCTGCTGCGGCCTAATGTCCAAAGCCCCTCGTGTCTGTGCTGGCACTCTGGAGTAGAACACTGGTAGTCTGTGATACTTTAGACCTGAAAAACAGGCAACCATCCACAGAGTGCATGGTTGTGCGGACATGGGCTTTCCACACTTTCTAACACCTCGGGGGCCATCACTGCTCAGGGTCACAGAAGGTCGCAGAAGGTCACAGATGGAGACAAGCTGCCTGGCTTCATAGTGAAGTTCCTAGCATCTTCCATCTACACGGTCAGGCTCTGAGCTGCGAGGGCAGCCTTTGTAGGCTTTGCTGGTGTTGCTTCCCAGGGGAATGTGAGCCGTGGTTTTGGTTAATCCAAGCTTTAGCGTAGATTGAGTTCTGACTCGGTGAACCTGAGTTCCACACTCCAGCCCTTGCCGGCCTTTCCGCGCCTTGGCTTTTCTGTAAAGACTTGACTCATCTTTTAACTGCTTCTTCTGGTTGAGAAGTTGTAGATCAGCAATATTATTTATTTTTGAGACCATCTTACCATGTAGCTCAGCTAGGACTCACTCTGTAGATGCTCTAGCTCCCAAAACTCAGAGAGACCCACCTGCCTCTGCCTCCCCGATACTGCGATTCAGAGTGTGTGTCCATGGCCAGCAGCGGCAGAGTTTCTTAAAGTTTGATGGGTGTGGCCTCTCAGCCACATAGTTGTTGCCCAGAAACCCACAGCTCTGATTGTGCGTTCAGCCTGCACAAGGAGTAATTTTAACGCCAGTGCTTCTGCCTTTGTCTAATTAGCTTCCCTCCCTCCCTCTTTCTTGTTTCCTTCCTTCCTTCCTTCCTTTCTTTTTCTTTTTTATGAGACAGGTCTCACTATATAGCCTTGGCTATCCTGGAACTTGCTCTGTAGACCAGGCTGGCCTCGAACTCATAAAGATCTGACTACCTCTGCTTTTGCCTCTCAAACGCTGGGATTAAAGGCTTGTGCCACCATGCCCAGCACTTCCCTTTGAAAAGTATTGTATTGCATTTGCATGTGTGTCCATGTGTGCCACCATGCTTGTGGAGGTCAGAGGACAACCTAGAGGAATTAGTACTCGCCTACCAAGTGGGTCTGGGGATCAGACTCATTCTTGACATGAAGTGCCTTTACCCACTGACCTGCCTCTTCCTCCGGACTTTACCTCTTTGCAGTAGCTTTGTTTAAAGAAAGAAACTCGTTTCCTTTTTAGTTGAGGGGGAAAAAATCCATCCCTATTCAAGAAAAACTTCACTCACAAACCATTTGGAAGTGAGAAGTGGATCTATTTTTCAATTTAAAAATGTCTTTGCTAATTCTGGAAAGAAGATGTGACTGTTATAGAATATTTGGAAAAGAGGCAGATTTTCAGATCTCAAAAATAAATTGGCTTCTCAAGAAACGTGAAGCACAGAGTGCGGATTCGGCCAGAGGTGAGAGGGCCTCCTGGTGGCCAGACTGTCCTGAGAGGCTGAGGACACTGGGTGACTGACCCTCCCTGTGTAGCTGTTGTTCTCGTGGGTCTCACGATGTAGACCAGCCTGGCCCGGAACTCACAGAGATCTGTGATTAGAGGCGTGCGACACCACACCCAGCCCCGTGGTCCTCCCTCTGGATGAAACAGTCCTCTGTAGAGTGGGAGAGTCCCTCCGCAAGGATGGACTGGTTTCTGGTGGGAACCCCCAGGTCACACGTGCCATGGGTTAATACCGGCCTGCAGAGGAAATGGAAACACGCTCCGCCTTTGTGCTTTGGTGCCTGTTGTTAGACTTGGAAAAGCAAGAGTGGGTTGGTTCCAATTAAAGAGTGCTCACTTGCCCTCTCCTCTGTGCACAGCGGCCTGACGCCTCCCAAACGCAGCCGCGGGAAGCCAGCCCTGTCTCGAGTGCCCTTCCTGGAAGGTGTGAATGGAGACTCTGACCACAGTGGCTCAGGTGAGGAGACTACGGAGGCAGAGCTGGGGGAAACATGCTCTGAGGAGCAAGCTGTCCGAGCTGCTTGGTGCGGTGGCTCACAACCTGGCTGTCAGTCTGTGAGGGCCACACCCACAGACATTGACTAGAGAGACGGCCTTCACTCTTGGGCCAGTAACACTTGGCTTTTGTTTCGATTTTTAAGTATCTTTAGTTTGTGTTGTATTTTGAGTCTGTGTTGCTGTGATCGTGATCACGGTAAAGGCGACGACCTGAGGGAAAGAGGTTCTCTTCACTTACAGCCTGCAGTCCGCTATGCAGCAGCAGGGGCCGTGGGGGGGCGCTGCTTACTGGCTTGCTCCCCAGTGCTTGTTCGGGTTCTCTCTTATGTGGCCCAGGACCATCAGCCACGATGGGCTGCGCCCTGCCCTCCCTCATCAGTCAGCAATTTAAAAAACACCCACAGACTTGCTATAGGCCAGTGTGGGAGAAGCATTTACTCAGTCGAGAGTCCCTCTCCCAGAGGACCCGTGTCTAGGTTGACAAAAACCAAATTAAAACAAAAACACTAGCCAGCACAGTTTGAGTAGTCAACACGTGCCCATGGTGACCAAAAATCCAGAAACCCTAACAAAAGCCAGCATTCCTCTCCGGAACATGGGCTGCTAGCCGTGTGGTTGTTTTTTCAGAACTACTTAATGTATATTCAAGCTGAAACCTGTACGTGTGTTTGAGAGAAGTGTAGCGGGCCCCCATTCCTCTCTTCTACTTCATGGTATGGTATACCCTGGAAATCCTTTGCTTTCTCCCGCCTGCCCGGCGGCCCATTGTATGGGAGGACTCTTCCTTGGCTTCACTAAAGCCTTCCACAGGCGGACATTTAAAGTGTCTTCATCAGTGCTGTGTTGAGCAGCCTCTGCAGGCACGGGGCATTCCATCCCGGGAGTGTCAGGTTGGAGGAAGGATGTGTGTCTGTAGTTAGTTCTGCCTAGTGTTCTTCTCTAGCATCTCGGTGGTAACGTGTCACTGATAACCCGGGCTTTGTCAGTGACGCTTGTTTCGTCTGATAGAAAAGAAGGCCTGGGGTGGAGTAGGTCCAGAGCAGTCTGCTTCTTAGCCCACGGTTGTCTGTCATGTGCACTCTGGATGGCCCCTGTCTGCCAGCCTCCTCTAACACACAGGGTGTCTGTTGACGGATGCATGCCCTCGTGAGTGTCTGCACCCAGACGGCAGGTCTCACGTCCAGGTGAATCTGTGTGTCTAAGCGTGAAGTCAGGAAGTGGATCTGACACACTTTGTGCTTCTGGTGGTGACATTCTTCTCCTTACTTTTTAAACCCACATACTAAAAATGACACCAAAGGCTATTTAAAAAGACCTGCACTCCTGAAGCCCACATGGGGACACAGCTGTCCCGTCCCTGTGTTGCTTCCAGTTCTTTTAGGCACATTCCGACAAGCGCAGATCTGATACACACACTCTTGTGCTCACAGTTTTTGCTTGTACATTTTCCCCTTTTTGGCTCATGGTTTTTCTGTGCACTGTATTACTGGAACCTTCTATCTGACAAGCAGTGCTTTGTGGTTGACTTGAGTGGACAGTGGGTTAACTCCAGCTTTTAACACAAACAATATTTTGAATGCACATTTTTGCCAGAAATCCTATTATTACCTTTCTTATAATACATTTTCTAAGGAGTTTACTGGAGCAGACGGTGCAAACATTTATTCCGATGCTCCTGGGATACTGAATAGAATTGCATTCCAAAAGAACTGGACGGTCTGTAGTTTTTCCTGCATGTGGATACACGGGTTTCTGTTCAGCTGGTCTTGGTGCTGGCTTGTACCGGTTCATTGTCAGCATTCTTCACTCACTGGCATCAAAATAACATCTTTCTTTTTCATCCTAGTTAAGAACTATACGTCTCTGCTCTCAGATTTGAGCCCTTTTCCTTAGCTGGGTGAACAGTCTCCTCCTGTTCACAGTCCGCAGGTGTCTGGGAAGGAGCGAGGTTTCCGTGACGCTCAGAGTATTAGTGAGGCTGAGGAGGTGCGGCCCATCCCGGGCTAGATACCTGTGGTCAGCAAGTACCTGCCGCTCTGCTTGGCCCTGCTGGTGTGTGGTGCAGACAGGTGCTCGGATGGCCCATCCTGGCCTGGTCAGAGCAGTGTTCAGGTTCTATTGAGATGGTCTTCTCTGCATTTTCCGTCACAAAGCCTCCGTGAGAAGGACTCCCAACTAGGGGTGCAGGCAGTGCTGTCTCTGCTCAAGCTGGGGCATGCCCCTTCTCCCTAAGAGGCCCTGGAGGTGAAGCCATCCATTATTTTTTTTCCCCAGGGAGGCTGTCCCAGGATTCAGGGCCAGAGATTGGTCAACCGTAGCCCGCTGTCTGTTTTTACATGGCTCATGAACTAAGAATGGTTCTGCATTTCAGATTATGAAAAAGATGGTGCCCTATAATGTGAAAGTGGTATGAAATTCAAATTTCAGAAACATGAGTTTTATTGCTGAGGAGACGTGCGCATCTGTTTAGACTCTGGCTGTTTCCATGCTGGAGCTGCACAGACCATGTAGATCGTAAAAGGGTGAAATAGGTACTATTTGGACATTTATAGGGTTACTCTGCTGACCCCTGACCCAGTCTTAGAACCCCTGAGGAAAGGGTGGAGGGGGTTGCTGACTCAATCCTGGGCTGCCCCAGTCAGATGGAAGCCTCAGGCAGGGCTTTGGGGCACCATGCCAAGTCCCCTTTGGGCGCTGTCTCCTCCCCTCCCCCACCCCCCAGGCAGAAGCCTCCTGATGCCCTTTGAAGACCGCGGAGACCTGGAGCCCCTGGAGCTGGTGTGGGCCAAGTGCCGAGGCTACCCTTCCTACCCTGCCTTGGTGAGTCTGCCCCAGACGACACCCTCCTGTTCCCTCTCCCCCTGGCGGCTCTGGGCCCTGCCTTGCCTTGGGGGATTATCTGATTGGATGAGTGGTGGGAGTCAGGTGCCTTCAGCTGCAGAGGGGAGGGGGATCTTTATCCTAGCTTTCCTGGGGCAAACCAGCAGCCCGCCCTCCCCACACACAAAGGCTCCAGGTCTTCAGAGACCCGGGGCTTAGAGCTTCTGTGCAGGAGGAACATTGCTCAGTGTAGTTTAAATCGCTAGTAATGCTTAGCGGCGGGTTAACATCCGCCATACCAAGTCCTCGAAATGCCAGGGACAGGATGGTTGGTCTTGTTTTGACGGGAAGAAACAGGGTCTGTTGACTACTGTCAGTCAGCCAGTAAGCACTGGGGTTGGAATTTGATTTCAGGGCTCATACCATGATGGAAGGAAAGCCTTTGTTTTGAGCCACTGCATTAGGAGTCTTGCCCAGTCCTGGCCTCTCAGGACTGCAGTCGGCCCTTTCCCCATGCAGACGTGTGTGCTTACGAGGCAGTGTGCCTTTTCCCTTCCCAGCATACCATGCACATGTCCATCTCACATGATGGGAAACTGTCATCATGTCCTTGCTAATGATGACATCATCCCATCCTTGCTACTGATGACATCATCCTGTCCTTGCTAGTGATGACATCATCGCCTTTCAGCTGCTCTCACATACCACGCTTTGACCATTTTCCAGCTTCCCGGTTAGGTTTACTCTTTCTCTGTGGTCAGCAGTTGTCAGTGAACATCTTAGCTTTACCTTGGTGCGGTTATTTCTCAGGAGTGCCCACCAGGGGCAACATCTAGGCGGGATTCTGGCACAAGTTGCCAGATTGCCTGGAAGTTAGTCCAGGTTTACACTCCCATTGGTAGTGGCTAATGGTTCTGTCTACCTCCTTGGCTTCTGTCTTCTGTCTTCATGACCTTGGTTAGGGTTTCATTGCTGTGAAAGAGATACCATGACCATGGCAGCTCTATAGAGTCAAACATTTCACTGGGGCTGGCTTACAGTTTTAGTGGTTCAGTCTGTTATCATCATGGCGGGAAGCATGACAGCATCCAGACAGACATGGTGCCAGCCGAACCAGGAGCTTTACATCTTGTCTGAAGGCAGCTGGGAGGAGACTGATTCCACACTGGGTGGAGGTTGAGCATAAGAGACCTCAAAGTTCCCTTTCCTAGTGACACACCTACTCCAACAACACCACACCTTCTAATAGTGCCACTCCCTGTGGCCAAGCATTGAAATATATGACTCTGGGGGGTGGGGGGGGGGCGCTATTCCTGTTCAATCTACCGCAGCCTCCTAAAGCTTTCCCAGGTGGGGAGGAACTGGCCACAGGCTCTGGAAGATAATACCACCAACTGGAAACCTTTGGATCTTGTGAGAATCGTCTGGGGAGATTTTAAAAGATGTATAAAGTCAGCTCATCCTAGGATACCAAAGAAACCTTCCAGAGGCTGAGTCCAGGCATCAGGGGTTTCTCAGGGGTTTCTTAGGGTCTGTAGCACTGGGGGGACCACCCAGGACCTCTGGTGCACAGCTCTGGGGTCCACCCAGCCCTACCTCTCTGACTCCTGAGCCTGATAGCAGCCTCCTGAGATGAGGAAGACAGGATCCTGTTTGTGACGATGAGGAAACCCTGTTGCAATAATACTGTACCACTTCCTGGGGACATATTGGTTCATTTAGGCTACTTTGTCCCGTCCTCAGCTATGGCAGGTGTGGAAAAGTCACACTCCCGGTAGCTGGAGACATTGAACTGGGAGCTCTGTATAAATGAGACCACGGACCCAGTTTAGTCATTAAGGAAGTGATGGTGCTAGCAGGTTTGGAACACTGGGTAATTGGTTGTTTTCAAACCTTACAGTGAAAGAGAGACAGTCCAAAACTAGCCTTTAAAATACATACAAACAAACAAAACACTGGGACCTGGTGGCACACACCGTTTAGCTCAGTGTAGGCAGATGGATCTCACTGAGTTTGGGGCCAATATGGTCTATATAGTCCCAGGACAGCTAGGGCTACATAGCGAGACCCTGTCTCATACCAAACAAAACAAAAGACTACAAAGAAGAAATTGAGTCACCACCTGAACACAACATGTGCTTTTCTGTTGGTGCATGGCCTGCATCCCTCTTCCTGTGCATGTCCTGTGCATGTTAGACTGGGGCCGTTGCAGTCGTGATAGTGTGTGCACACTCGCTGCATGTTATGGTGGGCCTCACCCCAGGCTTCGAGTCTGTGCTCTGTAAACCCGAATCATGCTCATTGAACAGATTGGGTGCAGCTATCCTCAGACCGCCCGTCCTCCAGGTCTTCCCAGTCTTTTCCTGACAGCCAGCAGGGGCAGGTGGAGACAGCAGAGCAGCACCCCCCCCCTTCCCTTCGGTAGCTGGGGAGACTTAGGACCGTTTCTATTGTGTCACTTGATCTTCGGCTTCAGTCCCAGGAAGAGTGACAGGCAACCTGGGGGACGGTTTCAATTACTACATAGCTCATGGGTAGGCCAGAAGTTGTTCTTTGTCAGGGTCTTTAAGAAATTTGTTTAGATTTATTTATTTAATGTGTATGTATATGAGTATTTTGCTTATATGTATATATGTTTGTTCGTGCACCACACGCATGTCTGGTGCCTGGAGGAGGTGGGGGTTGGAAAGTGTCCATCACCTGGAAGTTGCAGAAAGTTATGAGCACCCACTATGAGCTGAACTTGGGTCTTCTGGAACAGCAGCAAGTGCCCTCTCTGAGCCACCTCTCGGGACCTTAGTTAGCGGCTTACCTTGGAAGGACATGGGGGTGCTGGCAGATGGCCAGGTAAATGAGCAGTTTCTTAAGAGCAGAGGTCCCTGGAGCCGGACATGGAGTTACGATTGCTCTGTCTCTAGAGAGGCTCTTCCTCAGTCAGTTTCCAAGTCTCTCTGGCCTCTGTGCATAGGTCATGAGCCAGCTGCCCTGGAAGCGGGGCTGAGGTGGAAGCTGCCCGCAGCTCAGACCCAAAGCCAGACCACAGCAGAGGACCAGGGCAGCTGGTTTCCGTCCCCGCCAGTTTCCACAGTCCCATCCTCTTGTGCCCAGTGTTTCCCTGTCTGCTAACACCTGTCAGGCTTCCGGCCTAGACAGGAGATTGAAGCGAGATGCTGTGTGGATGCTTAAGAGCCTGGGGAACCGAAAGTGCTCCTCAGCCCCAGAGAGCTATTGGGCTGTTGATGACACGCCTGCTCAGAATCAGATGGGGTCCTGCCGTGCAGGGGATTAGTTCCTCTGGTGGTGGCTTTGGTTTTTCCCCTCAAATCCTGAGCCTTTCAGCTGTCTTTCTGTCTCCTCTCCAATCTTACCACAGAGGTATTGGGCCACTCCCCTTGGGAAGGTGGCAGGTAGCCAGAGCCTGTCACACAGCAGTCCAGCTGCTGCCTCTGTTGTCTGGCTCAGCTTTCTCCGTGGCCACAGCCTAGGTGCCGGCTGAGCAAGGCCCTGAGTCCCAGAGTGAATTACAGAGGTGGTAAGAGGATGGCAGGGAAGTGGCCATACTCCTTTCTAGCAGACATTGTAAGAGTTTACTTCTGGCTTCCATATCCGGATCGCCTGCTCAGCCCGCCTCAGCCTGGCAATCAGGTCCGAAGGATCGATTGCTCAAGACTGGGAGGGACAGCACAGTGGACTGGGAGAACAAGAGTTAAGATTTCTATTTTGAGGTGCTGGTGACCCATGTCAGCCTCTCTATCACTTGTTCCATGGAGAACCGAACCCTTGTGTGCTGAGGTGTCCGATGCCTCGATGGTTGGACCTGTAGCTCTCCCACCCTCCCCTGCTCAGGGCCTGTCTCCTCTTCTGCCTCCAGATCATCGATCCCAAGATGCCCCGGGAGGGCCTCCTGCACAACGGTGTCCCCATCCCTGTCCCTCCACTGGACGTGCTGAAGCTGGGCGAACAGAAGCAGGCAGAGGCTGGAGAGAGGCTCTTTCTTGTCCTCTTCTTTGACAACAAGAGGACCTGGTAAGTGACAGCTGCCGCAGGACCCTGGCCAGGGCTCAGGGTCAGCCCACGGGAGGGCGAGGCTTCCGCTCATGGCTGTCCCTGAGGACATGAGCCAACAATGCTTAGAGGAAGGCTGGAGCCGGCCTCCTCCGGAGCTTTTCAGGAGGAGACAGGCTTTCATCAGACAGCCACAGGAGAAGGGCTGCAGCCTGGGACATGGGGAGAGGTCCAGCCACAGCATGCCTTGAGTACAGGCCTCGGCTCTCCTCTGTAGAGCTCAGGAGAGGCACTGGGAATTGTGGATCTCTGTACCCTTAGGCCGTCCTGGGGTGGGCATGGCCTTGGGTAGGGAGCTCCAATACTAGCTGGTTACCAGAGACAGATTAAAGTGAAGGCCGAACAGGGCGCTCCACCTGCTGAGGGAAAGGATGCCCCAGTCTGAGGGGGTCTGGGCAGTGTGGTGTCCTTTATGGGGGGTGCTCAGAGGCCCATGGCTAGTAAATGTTGTCACCCCATCTCTGTAGAAAGGAGGCAGAGCTGCTGGCTATAGGAATGTCCAGCACTGAGGCTCAGCCTGGGGGTGACATACACAGCAGCCTTCCACTCCGCCACTCCCCTTGAGTGTGCCTGACCTGGGAGCCAGATCCTGAGGAGCCCTGCAGGACCTCCTGCGGCTGCAGCTGTGCTCTGCTTGCATTTCAGGCAGTGGCTTCCAAGGGACAAAGTCCTTCCCCTGGGTGTGGAGGACACTGTGGACAAGCTTAAGATGCTAGAAGGCCGCAAGACCAGCATCCGGAAGTCAGTACAAGTGGCCTATGACCGCGCCATGATCCACCTGAGCCGAGTGCGCGGGGCCCACTCCTTCGTCACTTCCAGCTACCTGTAAGAGTGGAGCCGGGCCTGCGTCTGCCTTCTTTGCCTCTCCTCTGTCCCTGAGGCATGAGAAGCCTCTTCTGCCCCTGCCACATATATGGCCGGCAGCTTCTTTCTAATGGCAGGCCCTGACTGGACTGGGTCTCCAAGGGCAAGGCCCAATATCGACCAATCATGTGGTTCCCCTGGAGGGCTGCTGTGTGCCAAAAACTCCCACCCGAGGTCCCTGGGGATATTCCACTGAAGAACCACTTAGAAGTAGAAACAGCTGAGAGTCTTAGCCAGCCAGCGAGATAGACCTGGCCCACGAGGCAAGAGGGCCTAGGCTGCTTTGCTGGGGCCAGCTGGCTCCCTCCATGCCTCTCCCACCTAACCATACCTCAGGGCAGGCAAGGTTCTGACACTGATCCCAGAGATGTGCCAGGGTCCCTCGGGAACCCCCAGAGCTCCCCTCTCCCCACGCCGCCCATGCTCACACCCCCGTCTCATCTCCCACCCCTAGCCCAGACTCTCCCTTCCCTCCCTCATCGCTCTCCCCTCTCCCTTGTGCCAAACTGACAGCAACATCACCAAATTGATCTTTTTCTTTGCCCCGTTTCCTTCCTGGCCAGCTGCTACATTAGATGGATGTCTGCCAGGCACTTGAGCCCCAGATAGAAGCCACCCCACTTGTAAGGACCCTCCCCACACCCACAGGAGCCCGCTTGTGCCACACACATCCTGTGGATGGACTGGGCTTCCCGCCATTCCCTTTGCTGTGAGGAGTGTCGAGGGTGGCCCCTGTCTATGCACAGGCTGGATGGATATTGGGGTGGCGTGTTCCCTTCAGCGGGCATGCTGCCACCTCACCCCCTTCCTGGGATTGTCTCCTCCTGTAGCAGCCTTAAGCCTTACTGAGTCAGCACTGTCACCGCACTGTCACCGCAGGCTGCAGGTCACACGGCACTGCCCTCCCGCGCCCTTCCCCAGGTTCACTGCTCCTGCCTCCCCAGCAGGGAACACAGCCTTTCTCTCACCCCCTGCCTTCAACCTCCTCCCCACCTTCACCTCCTCAATCTCCTCCCCTCAAAAAGGAAGGGAAAAAAAAAACTGTGAATGAGGAAAGCTGACTGACAAACCAACACAACTCTCAGAGGCTTCTGCTCTTGACATTTCTTTTCACCTCTTAAGCACCAAAGCCGCGGGCGGGTTCACAGACCGCCGATTGCCATGTTGATTTCTACCTTGACGTTATTTTTAATTGTTTTAAATTTTTTCATAGGGGAGTTATGGGCAACTATGAAGTCCCTGGGGAGATCACTGCCATTTTTACATACTCAGACTTTTTAAAAGATGCAACTAACCACCAACTTCTTACACATTTGGGACATGAGCCAGAGTTTAAAAGGGAACCAACAAAACTCACCGAGAGGGCAAGATTCTGTCCAGTAAACAGCGCAGCCACGGCCGGGTCAGGGCGTGGTGTATATAACTGTAAGATACCGTCGTAAGTTATTCAGGCCCGCACTCTCCATTACCAGAACCCTCCGTTGCGCGGCCACGCCGTGCAGTCTAGTCAAGGAGCCGATGCATTCCCCCTCTCCCCAGGTAGCTGGTCAGCTGTGGACTCTGTGACCCTCATCTAAACCTGTGTCAAGATCTCGGGGCTTCTTCCTCTCTCTGACTCCTTCCCCCAACACTTTCTCTCCTCTGTCTCTATTTTTCAGTCTTGGAACCCTTCCCTTTCTCCGAGTCCCACTTAAAAAACTGCTCTTTCAGGACAGGATGCGGCTCGGACCCTGCCGTGGCGCAGGGCCTTGCTCGCGCCCGTCCGGTCTGCTGTGAAGCACACGATGCTCTATTTATTGTAGACTTTATTTGCCTTCTAGAATTGTTTATAACAGATGGATATAAGAGAGGTAATAAACAGAAAAACCTATGCCTGTAAAGAACACAAGAGTTAATTTTACCTACCATAATATGACGTCTTATTTTCTCTCTGAGAAATAAATGTTCTATGGGCCGTGGTTTGCGGTGCTGTGTTTGCTGTCCTCGGAGGGGCCTCCTATCCTGACACCATCCGCTCCTCCAAAGGCAGAGCCATTAAGAACGGACTTGTCTGGTTTTTGGATCTCATGGATGGGCGTGAGGACCGGCTCAGACCGGGGGCTGAGGAGGGGTGCCAGGTTTGCCACACCTCAGCTGCATCTTCTCCGGCCAAGGTCCTGTCCTGGAGAGGTGGCTCCATGGGCATCCTGGCCCCTTGAGCACGTTCACCAGACTGCAGGCCGGGAAGACCAGCCTCCTGTGATGCTCCTTCTGCAGGGGGACGGCTGGGATGCAGAGGTTGGTGTCACCTGCCTAGAACTGGAAGGATCGTAGCAAATAGGCTGGCCTTTACAGACCAATAAGATTCAAAAGCATGGACAAGGTCAGTCAGCTGAGAAGTCTGTAGCAAAGCCCTAGGCAAGGATGCGTCCCAACCTTCCTGGACTCCACGGTCCTCAGGGCTACAGCAACTTGCTGTGTGCTGTGTGTGGCCACCAGAGGCTGATGGTAGGAGCTCTCCTTACAGAGTCTCTCCTGGGGAGATCACTGCCATTTTTATATACATTGATTGACCTTCTGATTGGCCAGTGGCCACCTCCTCTTCTCCCGTGCTGAGATTACAGGTGCCTGTCACAAGCAGTTTTTTGTTTGTTTTTTTTTTAAACCATGCCTTTAGAGGATCTGAACTCAGCTCCTCATGTTTCCGTGACAAGTATTTTGTCAGCTGAGCCCAGAAAGGGGCATCTTGAAGCACAGACACAAGAGGCATTCCCAGGAGTGACATTCAGGTGCAGAGAACCTGAGGGGGTTTCCTACTGTCCCTCCTGCTCAGGCCCTCTGATGTGGTAGAAGGCACAGCTCTTGAACACCTTCACAGGGCCTAATTCGTATAACAGATAAAGCGCGTCTTGAAAGTTCACAGCAGGTATTGTAGTTTATTGTACTGGGTGGCTGTTACAATACCCTGCAAGGCTATCCTCTGTGGTGCCTCAGTGTAGGCTTGGATTTTTTTGTTTTTGTTTTTCGAGACAGGATTTCTCTGTGTAGCCCTGGCTGTCCTGGAACTCACTCTGTAGACCAGGCTGGCCTCGAACTCAGAAATCCACCGGCCTCTGCCTCCCAAGTGCTGGGATTAAAGGCGTGCGCCACCACTGCCCGGCTAAAACCGACTTTTAATAAGGGTTCTTACATGCTTTGACCTCCCTTCTAGCCTACCACCCTCCAGAGGTAGTCGGAAAGAAAAGTTATTAGGATACAGGGGAAGCACAGCTGTTTAGAAATAGTTCTTTGGAGCAAATCCAATCTGCGTTGTCAGGATATCAGCAGTTCACAAGAATCAGCGATGACAGCTCTATCCTCACCATTCACGAATCAGCAACGGCAGCTCAGTCGAGAAGAAGCCACAGGCCTCAGCTGTTTGCTGTTTAGAAGTAGTTCCTTGGGTCAGTTTCCATCTCCAATTGACAGGATACCGGCAGTCCAGGTCAGTAGTGTGAGGATAGCAAACCCGAATCGTCAGCTGTGGCACAGCCCAGCAGAAACTGTCAGGCCTCTGCTGAATTGCCATGAGTCAGCAGGGACAAAAAGAACCAGAGGTACGTCAGGAGAAGTTCTCTGCCGTGCCTCTCTCAACAAAGTGAAGATCAGCAAAGACAAGACACAAATGAGACCAAGGAAGTGTCGCAAAGCTAGCTATGCAAGCCTCTGCCATCACTTGCCCACTGGGGCTTACTTACACTCCCTCCTAACATCACACTCATCTTCCCACGGGTCTTGCCTCAGCAAAACACCATGTGAGTTTGTATCAGCTGGCATATCCAGAAACTTCCACTTCACGCCATTAGCAGAGTCCTCAGAAGTGGCAAGAAGCCGCCAGAACACCTCCAGAAGTTTCTGGGTTCATTTCTTTCTATGAAATCATGACAATGAATGGCAAGGAGTACCAATACCATTCAGCATCGTCCACTGTCTATTGGGTCATATTTATAGTCTTAACTTCACGTGTCCTGTCACGTGCTTGTTTTAGCAGAACATCTTTTCACCTGTGTCTGCTTCAGGAAAACATCCTTTCACCTGTGTGCCCCAGCAAACCATCATTTGACATATCAGACTTTCCAAAGAAACCAGAAGTTACCTCAGCCTGGCTTGTCTTTCTGGTGGACAGTACTAAGTAAGCCAGAGTGCCTATTGCTGTTGTAAGATATTAGTGGTCGCTGGGCGGTGGTGGCGCACGCCTTTAATCCCAGCACTTGGGAGGCAGAGGCAGGCAGATCTCTGAGTTCGAGGCCAGCCTGGTCTACAGAGTGAGTTCCAGGACAGCCAGGGCTACACAGAGAAACCCTGGCTCAAAACAAACAAACAAACAAACAAACAAACAAAAGATATTCGTGGTCTCTGCAGTACTAATATACCCACCTCCAGCAACTAGGCTGTGGGGTACCTTTTCACAGACAGTGGCTATATTCTTTACTTTCTTGTTGCTGTGATAAAATACTGACAAAAGTAACTTGAGGGAGAGAGGTTTTATTTTGGCTTACAGTCCCAAAGGGACACAGTCCAGCCTGATGGCAGCAGGAGCAGGAAGATGATCGATCATACCACATCCAGTCAGGAGGAAGCGATGCCGGTCTGTCAAGCCTTCCTGCAGTGAGACTCCACCTCCTAAAGATTCCATTGTATAAACTGACTACGTGACCACACTATAGTATGGTTATTGGGAATGTGTTTTTTGTAGATACAAGAGATTAGTCAGAGGCGTCTGGAAGAGTATAGCGCAGAGAAAGCAGGCTGACCATGGCCAGCGGACTGGAGCTGGCCATGAGAAACAGCAGCGGAGCAGAGAGAGAGAGAAAGAGAGAGAGAGAGTCAGCGAGCATAATTGAACAGGGCAATAAAGAGAATGAGTAGCTGTTGCACTCCCAGACAGCCGCCATTTTCCCACAGCTCCAGCCCTGGCACCTATGAGATGCTAGCCTGGTGGCTGGCTCTGCCAATCCACCACGCTGTCCACAATGCTTGACTGAGCCCAGACCATTCCCTCTATGACCTCAGTCCCTGGTAAAAATGAGACTCTTAATGCTTAAAGATTATCCAATATTTATATATTTGGAAATGGTCAATTAACAAGATGCCCACCCAATTAGAATTGTTAACCCAATTAACCTAGATATGAACCTGAGACTGCTAGAGACACTCGAACATCTGCAGCCATCTTCTCTCCTCCAACACCTCCTTCGTCTCCTCCCCTTCTTCTCCTCACCTCCTGTCTCCTCACTCTGCCTTCCAGTCATACAGCCCAATCGCCGAGCTTTATACAAATGTGGGACTTTATCCTGCCACAGGTAGCTGTAGGGAGGGACGCCTGTGCGCTGGAGGATGATGGTGGCCAGGATGCTAGCATGGACTCCAGAAAGTGTAGCAGGTACTTGTCATGCCGAGGGAGCCTGGAGATCAGCATGTGCTTCAGTATGCTAACGGGCACCACAGATAGCCATCTGTCCCTTCTGCCTTTTAGAATTTGAGGAAATGGAGCTTCATTTGTACCTGACATATCACTAGCATGTCACATGAACCAGTGGGGGACAACTCACAGTCAGAACATGGGCCACAGACCAAAATCCATTCCATGTGCAGATATCCAGGAATGAGAAGTCAACAAATGACCATATAACTCTTTTGCTAGTTTGGAATGTTCCTGTCTCCGCTTTGGGGCAGAACTGGCAGCATCAAGGTGGAGAGGTCACATCACCTCTGAGGATAAGTCTGGAAGGCCCAAGTGATTGATTTGGAGAAACAAACTTATCGCTAAATGACCTGGATCGTTTTAGACACAACTTTACGAGCAATAGCTAAGAAACAGCTGCAGCTGAGTCGCCATGAACTTTTATTAGCGGCTCCAGCCATGAACGCCCCACCCAGGCCAAAATACAGAACATTTCCCTGGCCTTCCCCGTCCATCACTCTCTGCTTCGCAGGGAGTGCACTTTGGTGAATTTCTCCTGCACGGACTCATGTGTCGTGTGCTCTCATGTCATGTCTGGCTTCTCATTCGGCTGGTTTTGATTCGGTCCTCTGGCTCATGCATTCCTTTACTCTGTCAGAGCGGAGTGGAATTTCGTTATATAAACACTGTATGTTTGTCATTCTACTGTATGTGTGTGTGTATGTGTGTGTGTGTGTTGTACTTAGAGTCTGGGCATTGGAAATAGCTGCTAGGAGTGCTTTCACTTTTATATATCCTGCCTCCACTCTCTCTTACCTGTTTATTTTTGTTTCTCAGCATAGCCTTGCTGTACGGCCCTGGCTGCCTGACATCTGCCTGTCTCTGCCTCATAGTCATGGTCTGACAGCCATAGACTAGAGTGTGTGCTGCAGCAGCTGCCGTTACACATGTCACTTGGCTGCCTCTAATACTCATTCCCCTCTGGTGTGGCCCCAGGAGTGACCTGCTCCGTCATGGGGCAGGTGCAGTTTAGTAGATTTTGCCATTGCTGCTGGTGTGTGTGTGTGTGTGTGTGTGTGTGTATGTGTGTGATAGAGAGAGTACATGTGTGGTGTCTGAGTGTGTGGGGTGTGTGGTGTGTGTGTGGTGTGTGTCTGTGTGTGAGAAAGAGTGCACGTGTGGTGTCTGAGTGTGTGCCTGTGTGGTGTGTGAGTATGTATAGTCTGTGAGGTGTGTGTGTATGTGTGTGTGTGTATGTATGTGTGTGAGAGAGTGTGTGTGGGTTCATGTGTGGTGTGTGCATATGAATGTGTATGTGTGTGAGAGCATGTGTGGTGTGTATGTGAGTGCGTGTGTGGTATGTTTGCAGGCATGTGAGTGCATGACAGGATGGGGAGGTCAGAGGCCCTGTGATGTCAGTTCATTCCTTCTACCCTTATGTGGGTTCCAGGGGAGCTTCAGGAGCAAGTCCTTGTACCAGAGTTGTCACCAGACCACACTTGATGCTTTTACATCCCAAGGCCAGTAACCTTGTCC